AAATTCTGCGGATATCTGGTATCCAAGGATACCGGTGCAAGAGAGTGAAGAGATTCATTGTCTACAAAAAAAAAGAAAAAGAAACAAAACTTCCCCCCTGCCTAGAGAGCCATGCGCGGAGGAATCCTCCGCAAGCTGGTACACAGACCAGCTTGTCGGGAAGGGGTTGCTCCCGGCAAGGTGGTACACAGACCAGCTCGTTGGAAGGGATTCCTTCCAACAAGCTGGTGCTCTTGTTGGGAGGAATCCCTCCCAACAAGCTGGTGTACATACCAGCTCGCCGGGAGGGAGGGATTCCTCCCGACAAGCTGGTGTTCATACCAGCTCGTTGGGAGGTGTTTCTCCCGGCGAGCCGGATTTTAACCAGCTTGTCAGGAGGAGTCCCTCCCGGCGAGCTGGTGCTCTCGTCGGGAGGAATCCCTCCCGACAAGCTGGTGTACATACCAGCTCACCGGGAGGGAGTCGGACTCCTCCTGATGACCTGGTTTGAAATCCAGCTCGCCGGGTCCCAATATTGAGACTTTTGAAAAAAGTGCAATAATTGTAATATTATTTTGCATTAAATTTCAAAAATCAATTTTATCATATTTTTGTTTTCAAAATCATGTTTTGAAACCTCTTTTAATATACCACTTGCCCAAGTCTCATGATTGCAAGTTGGTAGGTTAGGGTTCATGTGTAATCCAAACAAGTTGGCTATATATATCTGGGAGGGCACTGTACATAAAGGGTGTATCATTCCCCTAGTATAGAGACAAATCAATGAGTGAACCAGTCTAACCAAAGTCTAAAGATTCCCACACAAAAAGTTCTCTCCGCATCCTCTTTCACAATCTTCTTGATTATTGGCTCTTGGATGGCTTCTGTCTGTCACTTTCAGCCTTCTTCTCCTTCTTTTGCTTTGAATCATCCACCTCTTCCAGTTTACTCTCTGGCCATCCTCTCTGTTGTTCCAATCTTCAAGTGTTTCCTGTTTTTCTCTACTCACCCAATTTGTATTTGTTTGGCATCTTGTTCCACTCTAATTATAATCAAGTGCGTCCAATTTTTCGGTGGATTTGCGCACACACGGTGGACACACTAGAAGGTCAACTTGCCAGCTTGCCACAGACCAAGTCTTTCTGTGTTGGCACCTCTACAACATCTTTGCACAAAAATATGTCGCACTAACAAGTAGGGCCCAACGTTATGAATTTAAACTAACAGGCCTCCCAGTTAGCCTTGAGCACACAAGACTTGATTCTGTAAGATACAATTGCTGTGGATTGGGTAGATTTTGTGAATGGAAAAGAACCCAGTTTTTGATGTGTAGCCTGTTGTAATAAGGAGCATTCTTAGACCTTCACAATCGCAGCAAAAACGATTTGTAACAATACATAAAAAAGCAACTGCTTATAGAGCGACTCGTTCAATATCAACAGTCTGCTCAACGTTTATCTCCACCCCCTCCCAGCCATATGAACATCCCGCTGATCTCAACTTTTGTTCGATTTGATGTTTGAGCCTCTTGATCAAGTCCTCTAACTCCAGGGGTGAGCCCGGGTAGTCGAATGCGGCGGGGAAGGTGAAAGCCATCAATTGATGCCTGCATTTTTTTAAACATTGTCACATTGATCAGGAAGGAGATGGAACTCATTACAAGTTGTTGTATAATGTGTCGAAATGCAAAAAAAGGAAAAACTGACCGCGATGGAAGGATGCCCGGTAGTTTTTCAGCCGACGGGTTGAGTTGTAGGAGATCCACTTGGACCACTTTCAAGGGACCAGCGACTATCTGATTTGTGGAGCAGTTGCAATAGGTGCAAGGGTAGCCGAGGAATAACCCCGCAAGACTGACCAGTGTCGAGGCCGGCTGAAGCTCCACTACGACCCGGTTCGAGGTTTGAAGCTGGCCAGAGGTCTCGCATGTTTTAAGTGCACACATGACAGGCTGGGGGATATGGTCCAGCTATCCATATAAAACGGAAATCCTGCAATCATTCATGAGATTGGTTGCCAAAGCAAGGGGAAAATGCTGATCGGTGTGGAACAGAACTTGCAATTTGGGGAGGCGTGCTCGACAGGTCTATGCAGATAGGTTTCCACCACGCCGGGTCATAGCGTGCCTTCCATAACGACCTTGAGCATATGAATGTGGAGGAGGATAGACGTTGATGAAGGACCACCAGATTCACAAGACATGTGATCTATGTCACATTCCTTGTCAGATCAGTAGGAACTGCCTAAGCTCTCTGGCCTCACGTGGAATCAATGAATGGTCTAGATCACACCACAAGAGCAGTAAACCAGAGCGCGTTTGGGGAATTATAAGGACACCACACGTAAAAATTCACATTTTTCAGACCATCGGCGATTTGGACCGCCTGCTCCTCACTGATCGCGATTCCATCCAGCAGGCAAGCCGATCTAGAACAGTCGAACGAGTCAATTTCGATTGTAAGAGAATTGCAAGAAAGATGTAGTCAAGACCTTAGCTCCAATTGAACGGCCCATATGTCAGCTACCAGCCGGTTGATCAAGGTGGTTGAAGAGTGCCGGCGATGCGGGATGATGAGTTGAGAAATGAGTTCGTGCAAGGCTAGCAAGGGCTCCATGTCCGATCCGGTATGGTTTGTGAGTACTTGTTCATTGGGCATGCATCTTGGCAGACTCAGCTTCCCCCGTGGTGTATGTAGGGAAAAGTTAAAACCCGGAAAAGATTCGAGAAGATGACCTCACACCAAACTTAGCCAAACTTTACATGGCCAATCCTGGTTGGTGTACATAATCGCCGTATGAACTTGCACTCGCTTCTTCAAAGCACTACCCAACCATCTTCAAACCACTAGTCAACTTGACTGTGTTCTCGTACAATGGCCGGGGGACGCTCACAAGTTATACGTCCTGAATCACCAGAGATAGAAGTGGTGTCATCCAAGAAGAAAACCGTAGAGAAGCGCAAGCAATCCCCAACACCAGCCCAACCCGCCAAACCACCTAAAGCTGCAAAAACGACCAAAGCTCAACCGAAGCCACCTCATCAATGGTCCGCTTCCGAGGATGCCGATCTGATCTCGGTGCTTGAGGAGATACAAATCAATCAATCGGGCCCGATGAATGTCTTCTCCAACAGTGCTTGGACGGAGGCTGCAGAGAAGTTAAACGCCTACAACACGGACCATTCCAAAGACAAGGATGCTGCAGCTTGTAAAACTCGCTTCAACGAAGTAAGTCTACTCGTTTATTCACTCACTCACTCATTTTTTTTTTTTTTTTTCGCTTTCTAGCTATTCAAAGCGAGACAAGTCACTGACCCTAAATCCCTATCTGCGCAGCTGAAAAAAATGTACCGGACTTTCAAACGATTGAAGAACATGAGTGGCGGAGGTTGGGACGAACGAAACAAGCGAGTGATCTTCGATCGAGAATGGTGGGACGAGTGGGCTCAAGACGGAAGTCAAAAGGCTAAGGACATGCTTGTTTTCCGTTACAAAGGTTTCCCGCTCTTCGAAGACATGTTTCATCTCGTAGAAAAGGATCCGACTGCTGGCTGGTAGAACCACAACCAAATCATCACCCAAACCTCAATTCTTCCAAAAGAAAAGCGCAACTAGCTTAGCATCAGTATCCAAAATCACTGAAATCACTTGATTAAAAAAGAGTTAAAATTGCTGTACAACTAACAGAAATCACGTCATATTTACTTTCTATCCTGCAGAACAGTACTCATACACAAACGTACTTTGCAAAATCTTAAACAATCCGTGACATGTTAAAAAGAAAAGTCTGCCCAGTAATTTTTTTTTTGGTTTTGTTTTCCTCATGTTGAATTATCTCAAACATTCTTAACTTGGCGCTTCCAGAAAGGCTCCCGGTTGATACAATCTTGATTGCTCTCCGCATGTACCTTTTTTGTTTGTTTTCCCTGTAATCCACATTGTCCAGTCTGCAAGTCATCCACCGGGGTGGATACCTCCATACAATTCAATAATTGGCATTGAAGCGTTGAGAGATAAAAGGCAAGGGAGCACTTGATTGCCGAGCTACAGATTTGTTCAAAAACTGTCAAGCTTCTCCGGTACAAAGCGGTATGTATTGTGAAGGCCATTCCGAACTGTTGAAAATTGATTTTTTTTTTGGGGGGGGGGGGGGGGGGAACAGAAAATGTTATGTATTGGACTTGGAATTCAAGGCCAAAGCTTCAATCCAGCCAAGACAGTCCAAGCGGATGTTGGAGAGACATCCAAGTAGGAGGTTGTCGTTCATCTTAGGTCAAGGATGGAGCATTCAACCCTTACCTTTGTTGTGCTTAAAACAATGACTATTATGCGAGTGATTCTCATTGAATACACCGACCCAGTCATATTACGGCAGACTATATTATCTGATCTCGCAGTTGAACTGAGATCTGTTGTACCGCCTCACATCATACCACTCCTTGTAGCTGAGGTATGGAAGATGGGAGCCTGTTCCTTACACTGGACGGGTCCAAGGTTGATAAATGTTTTAAGAATCATTTTGAAAGGAATATATGCCACACAATAGGGGAATTGATACTCAATAAGATCTGACACATAATCGGAGTGGAATTGAACCCAGAGTTGCTAACACGGATGACGAGAGTATAGACCCGACACACACACAAAAAAGACACCACCGCTCATGCGCCCCTTCAGGCAACGCCAAAAATACAACACAGCTTCATGTTCAGGAAGAGAAGTGAAAGGAGGCTTTTTCACACTTTCTGAGGAACTAATTAAGTGAGCGCATTATGAGGCCAACGTCGTATCTCCTTTAGAAACTAATAAAATGTGTTTAAAAAAAAGTTGGAATATAAAGGAGGAAAGATGATAATCACAACAGCAAATGACAGGCTCTAGCTTCGTTCGTACTCTGCTTTTTCAGCTTCGTGCCTCTTTTTATCTCGGGAAGCCATATCTTCATCTGAAAAAAGAGACCACGTTTCCAAGCTCAGTAACATGTCTCCTATTCCTCATCAAAACAAGTTTACTCACAAGGTTTTTTCTCTTCCTCGGACAGACCTTTCCATTTGAGACCAAGTAACCTTCCGATTTCGCCTGATAAACAATACCAAAGCATCAGTTAAACTGCTAAGATCGATAACGGGAGAGCTTGGACATGTGATCTGGCTTACCAAAAGAAACGTCGGGGTTCTCCGTCTTGATCCGTTCACGCCAATCTTGACTAAAGTACTGCAAGCAAGTTCAATGACACGTATCAGCACTAGCCCTAGTATCTGCAGCAAAGTAGACGGTGCAGTTGAATTATCAGAGCAAACGTTAGAGCTCACCATGTAGGCCGATAGTGGTCTCTTGGGTGCATTGGGATCTTTCTCTTTCTTGACCCTCTTGGTTTTCACCGGGTTACCATCGCAATCTAATTTGGGGGCACGTTTCGAGCTGGCAGTTGGGTCTTTAGGCATGGCGTTGGATGGGAATAGGAGTGGTCACTGTAAGAGAAATCAAGATGGTCAACACCCGCAACAGTTCGGTTGAGTCATCAAAGAAAAGGGGGCAAAGCTCGGACAGGACACAGCTATTAGCACCGAAACACCCGATGCTGTTCTGAGGGAGGAGTCTACAAGACATGGAGGATAGAAGAACGGAAACTTGGATGTATGCGCAAATTAAGAGGAAGCCGGATAAGCGACAATGCTAACACCGTATGAATCAGGTTACTCAGCCATAGAACTCGAGAAGGCAGAGTAAAGTAAAGCAGTGTAAGCCATAAATGGTTATTGCCTTATGTAATATAAATTTGTAACAGTAGGTTAATTTGATCGACACCAAGCCACGTGCCGGTGTGAAGCGCGTCAAGGATGAAGGTTGATCAAGACTCGATCATGCGCTGGATGGATGATTAAGCTGACCAAGGCTCCTGTGTAGCTCAAGCTGGATCGAGCTCAGGACAGGCAGAGAAGCAGACGAAGAAAGCATACGGAGTGCTTCGGTTCCTCGTGCCAGCTTCTATATGAGAAAAGTGAGGACTGGCCCGGGAAAGAATAAACAATTCAAGTATGGGGTTGAGGGGCTAGAGCTCGTCATAAATGGTTCAAGAGGATAAGACTTTGTGAGCTGAGTTGGGA